TGGTGCTGGGGTATCGAACCGTGGTCCCTGATGCTTTGCTAAGCTTGTTCTAAGTAGGTGCTTTAGACCACTGAGCCATCTCTCCAGCCCCAGTTTTACTTTTCTTTAACTTGAGATTTTTATATTCAAATAACCCAAGAGACTGGGCGAGGTTTTTTTGTCTTTAAAATTTTTAAGGAAATCATTTAAAATTTAAACGTGCATAGAAACCAAAAGACAAGCAGAATAAACACCTAAGTTCCAGTCAACCAGATACAACAGTGACAGACTCATGGCCAGTTATGATTCATCTCTCTCTTCGCCCATATTCTCTCCCTTCATTGCATGAAACAGAGGCGTGTCACTTTGTCATGTTTCAGTGTCTTAAGTGCACATTTTTAAAAACAAGCTATCTGGCGTCACATTATGAGATTCCTTAGGCTAACCGAATAATTCAATCAGTTTTCTAATTTTTCCTGTTCTCTTTCATTCTTTTCACTTTTTTTGAATCTGGAGATGGAAAAAAGTAAAGGGGGCGGAGTGTGCAGAGCCACTGTTGCTCTGTGGGTTCTTCCTCCTCCTCTTACTAAAGCGCCTGCGAGGTCCCTGAGACACCTGAAAGACGTCGCCGGCTGTCTGTGCTCCAGGAGCACATCCGAACCCTTCCGTTGCTCTGGGCAGGGAGTGCCCTTTGCATCAGGGACAAGGCTGGGGTCACGGCCCTTAGTCCACTCAGAAGTAATGAGCGCCTTAGGCTACGGAGCCTGTGGCTGGGCCCTGGGAGGAGGTACTGGTGGATGCGGCAGAAGCCGCGTGAGCCCTACAGAAGACACTACATGGGAAAGTGAAAGGCCCTGGACCTGAGGTGCTTTCACAGCAAGATGGCGCCAACTTTGTGGCATGAACGTCAGTCTCTAAAAACTTTGGCCAAATCTTAATTCTGCCCGTCAGGTGTGACTTAGGATGAACTGTTTTTTCTGAACATCCCCAAGGCTATTTCCTCATCTATAAAATGAAAATGTCATCACCACCCTTAGTAGAGCAGCCATGATTTGTGCAGGAGTTTAGCACATCATAGGGCCTCAGTGTTAAAAAGAATAGGGATGAAAACAGCCTGTTGTCATTGTCACCTGGAGAAATACATGTCTCCATTTCCTATGCATTTGGCTTAAGTTGAAGGTTTCATGCCTTTCTTGCAAAAGGGGGTGAAGCTTAGAGGAGTAGATACTACTGAGCGATGTTGAGCAGAAATACCTTATGGGAGGGCTATCTTTAAGTCACTGTCATGACTTTTCTTTCTGAACGGTGGCAGCTCAGTGGCACAGCACCTGCCTTGGAAGTGCAAGGTCCTGAGTTCAATTCCCGATACCAAAAAATAAATAAGTGAAAGACATTGAACTATGTGAGATGCAGCCCTTTATCCACGGGCATTGTCCAGCAGATCCTAAACCAGGTTGACTCAGATGCTGTGGTCTTGGATGGTCTTGGTCTGCCTAGAGCTTACGGGAGCATTACTGTGACAGGCTTTTGCCCTTACTTTGGGTGGGGAGGCCATAGGCCAGAGTTGTTCATTTCCTAGTCAAACACCAGTTGTGTTCATCTGTTGTGCTGCATTTATTGAGCGTTCCCAGCCCCACCTGGCTTAACAGCCCTGGTAGCTTCCTTAGAACTTCTTGCCATGATTGTGCGGCTTACAGAAAAAAAGAAAAGAAAGAGGAGAATAGAACAGTGGTGGCATAATATTTGCGAAAGGGCCACGACAGGTTGCCAAGGGGGGAAGCTGAAGGGAACCCGTAGGACGTGAGCCTCGGCGTTCGAGAGCTCTGAATGTGAAATCCAGGTTGGTGCTGTGGTGTCAGGAAAGCACTTCTGGTACCTTTTATTTCTTTATCACTAAAATGAAGACACATGGATGTCGCAAGCCTGAGTGAGATAAGCTAATTCGGACAAACCCTGGTATGTCTGAACACACACACACACACACA